GCTAACTGCAACCTTGCAAAAGGCTCAAATTCACAAAATTTACCAGCCTTTTCATCAAGCTCTCCCACAGATGCTGAACCTTTTCTACTAGACTCCAGAGTTCCAAAATAGATACTTCAGACAGTTCCTGCCAGTTCCATAGTTGTTTAGGTGGAGGGACAGATTCCTGGAGCTTTCTACTCTGCTGTCTTCCTTGGAATCACTCTCTATATTGTGTTTTGATTTTGTGATTTAACTCTGTGAGGGTAACCTTTAAGTTTTGGGAGGGCACTTCAATTTTCTAACTCCAGCACCTGTTCTGCTTTCCAACCATATTAGAACCTCTGGCCAGACTCTCAACATTTGCCCTCTATGTGCAAGGCAGAGGCCAAATTACAGCTGTCTTGGAGCTCTCCTACAACAGCTTCTAGGAAAGTTCTCCTCTCTTTCCTGTCCAGTCCTATCACAGAAAAGCTGGAATATCAGGAAAGGTCATGCACATATGGGGCTATTACTCACTTTCCTTTTCATTCATTCATTTATTCATATGTCACATATTTTTGGAGCAACCACTTGTGCCAGCTCTTTGATGGGTGCTGGGGAGATAGTGTTAAAAAAATTAAGAGTCCTTGTTGTTAATGAGCTCATAGTTGAGTGCGAGAGGCAAATAAATAAAAAATTCCAGTACATTCTTTTTTTTTTTTTTTAAATTTTTAATTAATTTATTTTTTTCCCCCAAAGCCCCAGTAGATAGTTGTATGTCATAGCTGCACATCCTTCTAGTTGCTATATGTGGGACGCGGCCTCAGCATGGCCGGAGAAGCGGTGCGTCGGTGCACGCCCGGGATCTGAACCCGGGCCGCCAGCAGCGGAGCGCGTGCACTTAACCACTAAGCCACGGGGCCGGCCCATCCAGTACATTCTGATAAGATTTGAAAGAGGGGTGGACAAAGAGATGCTGAGGGAGCTAAGAGAGGGAATGCCTAATGAGTTTTAGGGAAAAGCAGGGAGAAAAATGGAAAACTTCACAGATGATGGGGCACTTGGAGATTAGCCAGGTGGGAGCATCTTCTATGGTAACACTAGTAAGCGCAAATATTTGAAGAGTAAGAACATAGACAACTAGGCTGATGGCAAGTAATTTTAGTGTAAGGTGTGTAGGGGCAAGTATTAGGAGGAGGCTGGAAAGGCAGTGGGACCAAGATCATGAAGGAATTGAATTTTATTTTGTAGGTGACTCTAGTGTCAGAGGATTGTCAGTAGTGGAGTGACATGATCAGATTTACATTTTAGAAAAATTAATCTGCTGTGAAGGATTTGAAATAAGATAACAGTAATCTTTAACAGTTAATGGGGGTTTACCCCCATGTGTTTTACATAGTCTCATTTAATCCTCACAAAAATTCTATTCCTTTGGAACTATAATCACCCCCACTTTTTAGATGAGGAAATGGGCACAGAGAGGTCCAGCACTTGCCCACAAGTTAGAAGGCTAATGAGTGTTGGAGCTGAGATTTGAATCCAGGTTAGCCAAACACCAGTCTGGATGCTTAATCACTGTGCTTTTCCTGGGGGCAGACCTGGAGGGTAAGTTAGGATTCTGCTGAGGTAATCTACATAATAACTCATCAGGGCCTGAACTACAACAGTGGCAATGGGGCTGGAAGGTGGAGAACAAGTTTGGGAGATTTTGAGGAAGCAAAATTGATAAGACTTGATTTACTGTGGAGAAATAAGAGAGATATTCTGGGACAGCTGCCTGGTTCCTGGTTTAATCTCTCTCTGGAGAGACACTCACTGAAACACAGGAAGAAATGTGAAGAAAGGAGGTTTGGGAAGGTGCAGGGGAGGTGATTAGGTCAGTTTTGGGCATGTTGAGTTGGACTAACTAAATGGAGACATCCAGAAAGTCACCGGGCCTGGGTTAAGGGGAGAGAAGAGAAGCCAGAAGTGTGAATGAGATCCCTGAGGGAGTGGACAAGGAAGAAAAGACAGGTGAGGGCAGGGCTCAGGATAACCCTTACTTCCCCCCACCCTTAACAGGAGAAGCAGAGAAATATAAGCTAACCACCAAAATATTAGGAGACTCAATGATTATTTATTCAACAAAATGATATTAAAGAAATAACTGAAGATTCAGTTTAGATTATTAGAAGTCCAGCTGCTTTCAAGGTCACCATCATCACACTCCTAAGAAGAGACACTGGTAAATCTAGTGTGCTTATTTGATACAAATGTTTATTCATATTCTATTCAAACAGGATCAAGTCATTTTGCAGCAATTACATAATGACAAAAATGAATTATTCATTTTCAAACATTTTTTTCAGTTGTAAAACATTTCTTTTTGGCTTTGAAAAATAGAAAATTGTATCCTGAATCCCCTGAACACTCTTGTTTTAAGAAAGTCTACTCTTCTGTTCTCTAATATTGCTCTATGTTTAAAAAAAAAATTTTTTTTTGCAGGGGAAGATTTGCCCTGAGCTAACATCTGCTGCCAATCTTCCTCTTTTTTTTTTCTCTCCCCAAAGCCCCAGTGCATAGTTGTGTATCCTAGTTATAAGTCCTTCTAGTTCTATGTGAGCTGCTGCCACAGCATGGCAACTGACAGACAGGTGGTGTGGTTCTGAGACTGGGAAACGAACCTGGGCCACTGAAGCGGTGAGAGTGCCGAACTTTAATCATCAGGGCTGGCTCTAAAAATCTTAATTGTAATTATATATTTAAAATGTTTTCTGGTTAGTTTTCAGTCTTCACCTTTAGACTATATGTTCCATGACAGCAGGGACCTTTTGTTTTAACTCACCATTGTATGCTCAGCAACCTAGCAGGTTCTCGGCATACTTCTGACTGACTTTAAAAGCCTGACTGCCCTCCCTTCTTCCTCTTCCACCCCTTGTCTTTCTCCTCTTTCTCCCTTTCTTTCCCCTCCCACCCTCCTACCCTCCCTTTCTTCCTTTTATTCAATAGATATTTTTTGGATGCCTTTTATAAGCCAGGTACTCAGCTAGACTAGACATACGACGATAACTAAGGCACTGTTCCTGCTCTTGATTTAAGAGTTTAGTAGAGACAAACTTGATATGTGGACAGCAACTTGATGTCTAAAATTTCACCAGGAGGACAAGAAAGGGAAAAGTATCCTGGTCAGGAGGAGCTGGTGTGTGTAAAGTCTTGGGGTAGGGAAATGTGAAAAGCACATGGTGTATGCAGGGAAAGGCCAGGAGTATTACGGGGCTGGAGTACAGTATTCATGGGATGCTTTGGAAAGTGGGGCAGGAAGAGAGTCAGTGCCAGGTGAGGAGGCTGGAAAAGTTAAGGTGAGGCTGTGAAGACACCAGAAACAATCCTAATTTTTGGATTTTTATACCTCTAATCTCTACCCATTAGGGCATCTGGGTAGACAGGTGAAGAGAGAGTCAGTAGTTTTGTAGCTAACAGAGGAAATGGTGGAGGATGCACACCTATACTTTTTTGCATTGTTTATCTTTTCTCTTGGTTTGGTTTTACAATAGAGAAATAAAAGATTTAGTTATTTCTAAAATAATGAATTAGAACAAATTTATATTTTTAATCAGCAGCAAAATAAATATTTTTTATAATTAGACAAAAGCTTTTACCACTTGTTAATCTCAAGTATTAAATTATAAGAGTTTTCCAATTTAGCAGATTACCCTATTTCAAGGCCTTATCCTTTAACAACCGTAAGAGGTTTCCTTGCCCCATTAATCAATTAATTAGTTAACGTTCAATGTAACCTCATGGATTATTTTATTCAATAGGTTATACAGGCTTGGTTATACATATACTCGGAGATATTGTGGGTTTGGTTCCAGACCACTGCAATAAAGCAAGTCACACAAATGTTTTGTTTTTTTCCCCAGTGCATATAAAATTTATGTTTACACTATACCATAGTCTAAAAAGTGTGCAATAACTATCTCTAAAAAAACAATGTACATACCTTAATTAAAAAATACTTTATTGATAAAAAATGCTAACCATCATCTGAGCCTTCAGCAAGTCATAATCTTTTTGCTGGGGGAGGGTCTTGTAAATAACACAATATACGAGAATGCAATAAAGCAGAGTGCAGTAAGACAAGGTGCGCCTATAATCCATTACTGACATGAACTACTTTGATGCTCAAATTGTACGAGATTTGGCCAAGGGGAGCCCCTTCAAGTGGTCTCCTGTCCTTCTGACATGTCCCCATTATTTTTTGAGTACTTCTTTACCTTTAGGCACAAGATGTTCCAGGCTCATCTCACACTTTCCCTGCCCCAATCTTGGAATCAGGCATTTATTTGGGGAGTGGAACATGTTTTAAATATTCGCTATATTCTTATTTGAGAAGCATATGTTTTATCTATTTATATTTTTAAATAATTTTATTTATTTATTTATTTATTTTTTCCCCCAAAGCCCCAGTAGATAGTTGTATGTCATAGCTG